TGGGCTGAATTGCACAAAACGCATGATCGCACCGGCTAGTCTGGTGCGCGTTGCCATTTATTTAGCATGAAAATAGTGATCTTTCAATTTGTTTATACTTGACTCGTATTGCTGTCAAATAATGTCGAATAGAGTTCCGAAACTCTTAAATATTCAGTCCTGGCCCAATTACAGTCCTTCCTAATTTCTCTTTCCTCTTTGCATTTTTTCAGTGCAAAAAATTTTTCAATAAGGCAGGTATCCGGAAAGTCCTGACTTGCCCACTGCGCGGAAATGACAGGCGATGAAATCTAGGCGTACGGTTAGTGGTTTTCGCAAGCGCAGACAGCCCAGAGAGCTGATCAGCCTTGCAGTTATTAAATTACTACGTTATGGGAACACAGAAAGAAGTTACGCATTCTAAAATATAAGACAGTTTACTTGTGACAGCTTGTCTTCCTTTATAGCACGGCTCACAAATGAGCTACAGAAGGCGTTTCATCATTCGGAAGTTGAAAAAGAGGATTTGCAACGGTTATTGGATGAAGCAGAAGCCGCAGTGGAAGCTGAGGAAATGAAAGCAGCGCGAGCTCAAACTGAAATAAGAGAGATACGTGCTGAAGCTGAAACAAGAATTCAGGAGAAAGAGGAACAGTTCGAGAATGCACGCGAAAATTTGCAGCATCATTTGGAAGCCATTCAGGTATGCGCAGTGTTCTCCTCTGCTGAGCTATTACCTCATCTCATTATCAGTGTAGCGGTTGGCAGCTTTGCCATTCTGAGCTAATTACATCCATGCAAACACCATTTCTCATTTCAGACGCATTTCACTGGTGGCTTACTCGCTGTTCGTTTACCGCCCCTGCACTTTATGGTGCGTTGTAATAAAGTGGCGACTTCGCGAATCGAACTAGCTAGAATGGAGAAATTTTACAAAAATATTCTGTATCCACATGTGATCTAAATTTAGGTTGGAGGCTAAATTCCCTGCACACTGACATGACAAACACTCAATTTATCGTAACTTCAAAAGCGAGTGCATTGCCACCAAAAACTTTATACTTCTCTTCATGCAAAGTTAATAAGCATGCGCGCTCGAGGTTCGTGTGGCTCCATGATGCAATAGTAATGTCCTGGCTAACGCCTGTTTCCCATTTCATTTAAAAGGTTGTTAAATTGTAAAACAGCAACCATCAACACTGCTAACATTGTCTGCTTCACTTTAGCGCAAAAGCGGAAGATCCTTCCGACAAGCTTGACGTTTCGCTACAAGAGTTATATAATAGAATACAAATAGGATTTAATACCAGATCATTAAAATTAATAATTTCACTTATTTGGACTATCGCTGAAAAACGCCAGTCTTACGACACTTTTCAGGCAAATATGGAGAGCGAAAGACGTCAGAAAACAGAACTCCAAAAGATGTGTAAGAAGCTGCAACAAGATCTTGCTGTTGGTTTCGTGAAAAATTTTTCAGAATTCAGAACAAAATAAATTCAGTCAGAATAAAATAAATTCAGTCAGAAACAAATGGCCTGCCGTAGTTGCCTTCGGTGCTTGGCTAATGTCTCGCAACATTACTGGCATCAAATTTTAGCATGAATTGCTCTTTATTTCATTATATATATGCCAGGACTGCAGAGGCAATGAATGTGAGAAAACTATATTATTGATTTTATAAGAATCCCCACACCAAGGACATAACTAGACCCTTTGATTCTGAGGTGCCTATTTCCAGTTATTACCCACCGCCTTTTCCTGTGTATATGTTCTCTTTGAAGACCGCGTCAGTGACTGTTCGCTTTCTCCCGGTTACCGTTTTCATGCGTTTGTGCTGTATACCAACTGCACAAAACGCATATTATTACCCCCCTCTCTTTCCCTATCGTATGTATTATTTGTGTGTCCGGATGCATCTTGTCTCGCGTTTTCAAATCGAAACCGGATAAGATAGGAGGTTGAAATTTTAAGAGAATGTTCCCTCCCTTCGTGCGACCCAGCGACCCAGGAGGTCTAAATTCAGCCTTCGCTTGCGCCTAGGTCTTGTGAGAACCTTGGCGTGAAAATTACTAACTCTGGAGCTGCAAAGATTAGGAAGATGAAATTTTACGAGACACTTAGCCAGTGCAGAGCTATCAGGTTTTTTACAAGTCATCATCGTTTATCTATAGTCTGGCTGTAAGAATACCGTTTCAGTTTCTGCGATTGTTAATCGTAAAACGGACACTTTTGTTCGCAAGGGCTGTTCCGCACTGATCCTTTGGCCGCTTTCCAGCCCATCTTTTAAAATACCAACTCAGGACAGGCTGTGGAATGCTTGGCAGATATAAA